TCGAAATATTGAAATAGAAATTTGAAATGTTATTATTTATTGTGACATGAGACAATGATATAAGCAGGTGGTACTATAATTTTGAAATAAGTCTAACTGGTCTAGTACAAAACTAAACTAAAAAAAACCTTTGAGACGTCTAAAACCTTAGTCTCTCCCGTGACCATAACTGCTGTAAAGCATTCGAAATGTCGGGAACCAAAAATCCAAGTAAATCCGCGATAAAATCCGAAAAAATAGTTTTATTTGAAATTATATATATATATATATATATATATATATATATATGTATATATATATATATATATGTATATATATATATATATCTATATAAATATACCTACAAAAAATAATATATACTGGTTAAGTATAGTATTTTTTTTTCATATAATTTTCTTTGTATATAACCTATCAACACTTCCTCATCTTTAAATGACAGGTAGACGATCAGCAGACGAGTCAGCCGTGACCTCATGATCTTAAACTACGACATTAATAATTCATTATGACATTGTTATGGAAAAAATAACACTTTTACATATAAATGCTTCCTGTTTCTAAAAATAATCACACTAATCTTATAAATACGAAAGTTTGTATATATGTTTGTATGTTTGTATATATGTTTGTATGTTTGTTCTTCTTTGGCTGGACTGGTTTTGATAAAATTTAGCACACAGATATACTATGACAAAAAGTAACATATAGGCTACTTTTAATAATAAAATTTGCAAAAAATACAGCACTTTCTGTATGTATTATTAATACAAAAAAACACCTAACATAATATTACAATGCAAACTTAAAAAAGCATTTTGTACATTTTTACGTTCATTATGAAAGGAGAAAAATTAAATTTATATGAAAAGTCAATATCAGACAAAAACTTGCATAGTAATATTATTCAATTAATTTAATGAGTTTTACTAGCAATTGTAACAAATAATAATACCTACTATTGAAACTAATCCATGCAATAATTTTATGTATAAATTAATTGTCTATACATATAATAAAATTCTAAGTAGAATCTGCACAAAAAATATTTTTTGTTGAAATAGTCATTATTATCGATACACAGGCCGAATCTATAGTTTATAGAATGTTTGTCTGTCTGTCTGGGAACGCATCATGTGAAAACCACTGGATAGATTTTGATGAGGTGAAATATCTCATCTCTGAGAAATCTATACTAAGCGTTAAAACGTAAATAAGAACGAACCCGAGCGGAGCAAGGTTGCGTCAATAGTTCATCTATATAAAAGTTAAACACAACGTGCCAAATTATATAGCTTTTTTTATATATTGTGATATAAATATTTACTCTATTATTTACACCCCTTCCCTCTTGCAGTTTGCTATCTCCTACACCTAAAGGTTGCCTGGAAGAGATCGCTGTTTTAGCGATAAGACCACCTCTTGTACATTTCTACTCTGTGGTTATTTATTTTTCTTTTATTCTTGGTGTACAATAAAGAGTTTATTATTATTATTATTATTCATCTATACTTAAGTGACAGGATATAAGGTATTATTTAATTTGAAATTCCTGAATGAATTCTTCTTTTAAACATAACATTCAATAATTATGAGCATTTCAATCACATTGTTATCGTATAACAATAATTATGGTTGTTTTAGATAGACAACGGGTGATACTATGTTTATTAAACGCAAATCTTATCTAACACTACAACTCGCGTCATCTAAATAGAACGCTGGAAGAAAGTGGAGAGGGTATGTTTGCGCATGGGTATACTCGCGCACAAAAGTACTAAGCCTATTATTTTATTTTTCATAGCATTTCGCTCGCGGCTCATATATTAGTTATTGGTAGGGACATTGAAAAATATATTAGATAGAATATCATTAAATAGAATTCTATTCATTATTAAAATATGTTTGATTCAGTGCAGAATGTATAATCTACATACCTACTTAAAAAAAAAAAATTAATACGTTTAATATTTTTTTTTATTATTAACTGCATTTGACCGATAAATCGCTTCTGCGCAGCTTGACAGCCATCGTTCTTTTTAGATGACGCGAGTTATACATATATGCCTAACACCTTCGCTTCGCTCATGTTCGCCTCTAGATAAATAAAAAAAAACAGTTTTGAGGACTGCCGACAGAAGCGACAACTTAAAACTATAAACAAACCGTTGTTATTTTTGGATATTGAAATTAATTGTTTGATATTAAATTAAAATTTGCTAATTAAAACTGTTTACATTTATCTGGTTTTGACATCTATGGGCACTGAGTGTTAGCGTTAACACGTGACGTGACCATGTGGATGACGAGTTATATATAGAAGTTTTCACTTCAATAATAATAATCTATCTCTTTGCCAAATTTAATTCAGATCCCTTCAACCGTTCTGGCGTTATTGAGTAACAAACATCCAAACATCTATACTTTCACATGTTAGTAAGATTAGTAAGAAGTAAGATATGTGCGTACATATAAACACCTGTGAGACGAGAATGGCTCGATAGAATAAAATAGACTCTACTATAACCAAATAACTAACATGAAAGTCGAAAACGCCGATCTGCTTTCTCTCGAAATTTATTTATAGTAAATTTATTGAAAGCATTTGATAAATATGCTTATTTTCAATAAAATCAATTAATCATTTAATAATGTCGTTTTCTTGTATATTATTAACATATTTAATTAAACTGTGATTCAGATATACGAAAACGATTCATTCTTTGTTAGAGTCAACATTTTTTAAGTTTTTCTTTTTAAAATGTCCCGCTAAAGTATGTGTTAACTTGTTTTAAATGCTTTACAAAACTAAGTAATTTTAAAGCCTTGTACATACATGTCTTAAAATGTACCAATTTCCGTTTTTTTACAAAAGTTTACTTTTTACATGGTAAGAATTGAATGTTTAAAAATTACATTTAAAACAATTATTATAACTGGCTACAACTGGAAATAGGAAAAAAAAAATTCATTTCCTAATCCTAACGTGTCGTACCGTATGTAAATCATGTCACCAATCTCATGTACTTGTATTATCTTTCTTTTGTTTCTTTTGTACTAGCTTTCAACGTTAGATACTATAATAGCTATCTACATGATAGACCGACTCTTCGCTTCTTCCTTGTTTTTCATAAAAAGCCTATCCTTTTTCCAGGATAAAATATAACTAATATCATTTACTATAACCTTTATGCTGTATTAAAATCGTCTTAGTTAGCTTAAAAACTATTTTTTTGTTCATTATTATCTTGTTTTTAAGTTTATTTTTTAAACTATATCGTTGGTCTACACTCTAGAGGCTAGCATGTATACATGTAGCTGCAGATATAGGAATTCGATCTTCGGAGGAGGAGAGGTCCTGCGTTCGAATCCTACCTCGCTTGAAGGAAGTAACTATAGTTATCCAATTTCTCTGATAAGAAACCGCTCTATATATTATATCTCACTATACAGATGACAAGTCTCATTAAGATTGGCATCGCAGTATAAATTGCATTGACATTTACTTAATATTACCAACATATGCTATACTAGCGGCTCACTCTCGCCTCACTTGGATTCGCCTCTAGACAAACAAAAACAAATCTTTCCTACGAGAACCGTACATTTTTCCGGGATAAAAAGTAGCCTATTTGTTGAACTATATTATTGTATAATTTCATTAAAATCCAATCAGTAGTTTTTGTATACTAAGCTGTATAAGTTACTATAGTTTTTTAACTATCCTACGGGAAAAGTATTTAAAATGTTGATTGGGGATATAAGGTACCACCATGCAAAATTTTATTTAAATCGGTCTAACAGTTTCGGAGGTTAGCCCGTACAGACAAACATACAGAGAAACATAAAAATAAAAAATATAGATTTTTCTATTTCTCTACTTACACCCCCCTGAGTCGGTTTTCAGCATTTTTTCTATATGTTTACAGTTTTATTATATGTATAGATTACAATCTATATTTATATTACCTATAAATAGATTATTACTTATATTCTATGTATAGGTAATACAGATTGCAATATATATTATTGTACTAATATTGTATATTTGAGATCATTGTAACTCTACCTAAATGGGTCACAAACTACGCTTCATTAGATTACATACTCGTATATAATTTGATATTATGAATGAAACAAGTTCTAGTTCTAATGTTTAACAACCTGTAGATATTACAAAACACCAGTACTTATTCATTTTTTATTTATTATAAATAATAAATGAAATAATCTACGATATAAGATATTTCTATTTTGAATTTCACTCAAACCAATTCAACCGTTGCAACGCAGCTTAAAAAATTACAAATAAACTCTCACATTTTCATATTTATAATATTAATGTGATACACTAAAGGAAATAGATTTTTCATTTATATTGTACCTTTAAATTATATTACGTATTCCATTATCTTTAGGACGAACTTAATTTTTGCTCCAATATCCTATATGTAAAAAAATGATATAAATAAAAATTGGCACTTTAATCGAGGCCGTTCATAAAGTTCAAGACTTCGGCTGTTATCTATAAATAAAAGTCATAATGCAATCACATCTATATCAATCTTTATATTTCTATAAGAGTGAGTCATTACCTCATTTTGTTTATCCATCGTAAGTTAAAACTAAAATAGTACAAGAGAAACTGACGACTTTACTTATTATTATTAAATCTATATATTAAGTTATAAATTAAATTAAAGTGTTTGTCTTTGATTGTAAAAAGATGAGCTCCATTCCATATAACTGGATATTTTTTGCCATTTTAATTTTTACATAAGGAATGATTTTAGCGAAAAGGATGTAGGCAAATTTTTTCTCTGAATAACATATATAGGGATATGAATTTTATGAGACTTTTTGAAACTGGACTAAATTTTTACTAAAAAATAATATTCATTATATCTTAATTGAGCGAATTTAAAACAACAGGAAATAAATGTTTTCTTTATACCATATCTATGTTTCTACGACGTTTTCTTTATATTTATCTTTTTTTATAGGTATTATGTCTGGTGCTTGCAACGACGATGGCTGCGAGGCAGCGACCGAGGTATCAACAGCCTGTAGAGTACGATTATGAGCCTCAAGCACAAGACCGAGGAGAACAGGTGCAGTAAAATTTACACGCAATATAAAAAAATAGAGAAATTATATATATATATATAGTACATTATTTCCTAGGAATGGTCAATTTAAATTTTGTAGCCATTGAAACAAAATATCAACTTTTATCACTGCCATCATCAAGCCTTTCAAGTAATTTTTAGCACAGAAAATCTATACCTAAAACTTACCACTCTAAGATCTTTTATTTATACTTTAAGGGCATTTAAAACTATACAGCTACTAAATATCATTCCACTACTTCTCTGTCATGTATATTAAATGCTGTTATGAATTACATTGTTAAATAAGATTATAGAATAAATTTTTCTTACTTTTGTGGGTGTATAGGTATGGGTATAATAAACAGGATTCACTTATAAAATATATTCATAGAGAAAAATGTCCGTTTCAGGTAGTGCTAGTATCCCAAGATGCATATGATGGCTTATACCAAGCTCAAGATCGAGCAGATGAAGACTATGAACCCAGAGCCCTGCAAAGAGCTCCAGCACAGAGGCACAAGCAGCAATCTCAATCGCAACAAGAAGGACCTAAGCAGCCGCCCGTGCAGACAATCAGGAACTACAACAAGGTAATATCGACGATGAATCACCAATATTTTCTTCATTAGTACTCTAATTATAAATGGATTATAATGTTCAATGAGCCATAACTTCTGCATACTTTCCTTAAAGTAATAAGCAATAATTCATATTTTTTAACTAGTGCTTTCACGAACTAAGTTTATAGTAAATTACAATTTATGGTATATTCATTGCAGGTGAACGATGATGGTAGCTTTACATTTGGCTACGAGGCTGCAGATGGTTCTTTCAAGGAAGAAACCAGAGGTACCGACTGCGTTGTCCGCGGCAAGTATGGATACGTGGATCCTGATGGCAACAAACGAGAGTTCACTTATGTATCAGGAAATCCTTGCGACCCAAACAAACCCAATGAAGATGAAGAACAAGATGGTGGAGCACCAGAATCCGCGGAGAGAGATGACCCAGAACCCAACTACCCGAGCAGACCTGCCATAAGACCGACAACAGCACGACCAGCGACTACCTACTTCCAAAACGATTTTAGGGACGCTGATGAAGAACCTGAAGAAGAACCACTTCAGAATATTAGGCCACGTATTGTTCAACGGCCACAACCTGCTAGACCAGCGCTTCGCCCAACTTATCAAGCTCAACAAATCGCGATCACTCCTCGTCCAGTGCCCATCACCACTGCTAGAGCATTACCTCCAGCAACTACATTTAGGCCTCAGTTAATTCAAGTAACACCTAAACCTCAAATTCAATACAGTCCTGAGCCTGAATACTCTCCTGCACCCACACCATCTGCTGTATTGTCATCAGCTAGACCAGGTCAGTTTGATTTCGCTGCAGAATTCGCGAAATTCCACCGTGATAGTCAAGGACCAGCAAGCACACCTTCCTCTCATGGTTCAGCTGCTAAATCCACAACCGGTGCTGCACCTTCAGGCAATCCTTTGTATTCGACTGAATTAGTATATGATCCTTCCAGTGGCCAATACAATACTCAACTCTTCCAAAGCCTACCTCAAACTAAAGGAGAACTTAACCTTAACCAACGACTTCAACCTTTCGTTGCCCAACAGCAACAACAACGACCTTTCATTCCATCTCCTCAAATCTCTGCCACTAGTCCTGTATACCGACAGCCTGCCCCACAAGCAAATCCTCAAGAAATATATCAGAGGCAGCAAGCTGAAACTCAGTTCCAGAGTTCTCAGCAGTTATTTGCCCAACAGCAACAAATTCAGCAAAGTCAATTGCAAAGAGATAGGGCTGCGGCGAGAGCTCAAGCACAACGGTTAGCCCTATCCCAAGGTCAGGTTCAGGCTCAGGCTCCTCAGAGGGCTCAATCACCCCAATACTATTACGTACCTAGAGGAGAAAACCCATCTTCGGGACAAATTGATGCGTTTTTGAGAGGTCACGGGATCCAGCTGTAGAATAAATAATTCATAAGCATATGTCGATCGAGTCCGAAGAGCCATAGTACAAGTCATACACCGGTCGATAGCTAAGTGAAATCTAGTTAGGACAGTGGCGTGCTGCGAGTGTACATAATGCTGTGTCTCAGTACCTTAGTTGTTAGTTTTAAGGTTTAATTATAAATAACCACTTGTACGCGTTCTGTGTTTGAGCGTTGTAAAATCGAAATACCAATTTTGTACTATTTTGTTTTATAATAAATTATATTTTTATTAATTATATTTTTGTCTTATTTTATTGTAGTCAATCCAACCTTTTATTTATGAACTTGCTAAATATTTTTTTATCATCCATGAATAGTATGTTAGTAATAATAATATCTATATCCATATGTGACAGTCTGTTTGTTTGTTTGTCTTTCTTTCACTTCGAAACGAGGCGGTAAATTGGCGTGATTTTTTGTGTGGAAATATTTGGAGGGCTGAAGAGTGACATAGGCTACTTTTTACCGCGGGAGATTATCTCTTTCCCACGGTAAAACACTTTATATGTATATAATACAAACAAAAAAAATATTTATTATCATAATTACTGGAAACTTGGTACAAATGTTCTTAAGTACATTTAATTAAATACGTGTTTTAGCATTTCTCGAAATTCATCTCATATGGGGTAAAATAGCGGATGAAAGTTATAGGAAACCTATCATATATAGCCATAGCCGCGGGTTCTGCTAGTCCAATATAATTAAGAATCGAGTAAAGAACTAATATCGAGTATTATTTAGGCTAGAAGAATCTATAATCAAAAATCGTGACGAGGTCAAAGGCATACTATAAATAATTAAAACATATGATGATGTGTAAATTGCAAACTGCATAGAAAAAGTATAAAAATCCTATTACTACATAAATACGAAAGTTTGAATGGATGGATGTTTGTTACTCAATCACGCCAGAACGGCTCAATGGATCTGGATGAAATTTGGCACAGAGATAGATTATAGTCTGGAGTAGCATATACACTTAATAATCCCGGAAAAATGTACGGTTCCCATGGGATAGATTTGTTTTTATTTTTCACTAGCGACGAACCCGAGCGAGTGGAGGGTGAGCCCCTAGTACATATATAAACCTAAGCTGCATATTAGCAACATAATTTTCATTTATTCAAGAGGAATGCGGAAGACAAACTGTACTATAGTTATGTATTGTAGTTTCTAGGCCGTAACCCATTAAATAATGTGTAAATGATTTAATATAAACGTGTTTGTCCATACTCTTACGTATTTAATTACTAATCGTGTTTACAGTAATGCATTACAGTAATAAATATGTAGATACTCTTACGTTTACAAATAACAGTAGACTTTTTACATTGTTATAAAAAAGGAATAAGTCTGACATATCCATATATATTAATATTATAAATGTGAAAGTGTGTTTGTTTGTTTGTTTGTTTGTTTCTTTGTCCTTCTTTCACGTCGAAACGGAGTAACGGATTGGCGTGATTTTTTGTGTGGAGATAGTTAGAGGGCTAGAGAGTGACATACTTTTTACCGTGGGAGATTATCTAATTTCCACGGGAATACACGTCATAATATAATCCATCCAAAAAAATATTTATGATCAGAATTACTTGAAACGTGGTATTAATGCTCTTCAATACAATTGAATAAATACGTGTTTTAGCATTTTTCGGAATCCAACCCCTAAGGGGGTAAAATAGGGGATGACAGTTTGTATGAAAACTACCTTTTTAAAGATTTTTTGTAGTTTTAGCGCGAGCGAAGCCGCGGGTTCTGCTAGTATTAGGTATAAATTAATCTATGTAGCAGGTAAACTCTGAAACCTCCAGTCATATTCGGCAAGTTCTTTAATTATAGAAAACTACATTATGAAGGCAGCAATATCTGGGGTTCAATTGAAATACGGAAGCTAAAACTAAAATAAGGAAATATTTTTCCCGATCCGAACGCTGCTTTTCAATAGATGCAGTTTTCTGTTTACTACAATTTAGGACAAGTTGACCATTTATCCTACTAATAGTTTGAACTAGATTAGTCTGCTTAGAATTTGAGTACTAACGAATTGGTTTTTTATAAATTAAATTGTTATTTTACATCAATCGTTTATTTTCTCGTAATTATTGGAAGCATTACAGATATTTAATATATAGAAAAAGATTACTTCAGACTACACATTATTAGATTAAAATAAATGTTAAACATATTTAAGAAGCAATCAATTATTGCTATCTACAGTGATTGAAATCGATCCGACTGATTTCATTCATTGTGATGCCTTGAATAGACTGAAGCTAGTGATTTATATGACACAAATTGTAGGCCATGTTTTATTCAACTTAATATCTAAAGTTACCAAATTCAACTACTTGCAATTTTTAAAATATCATACTTGAGTGGACTTTTACAATATTTGTAATGAAAATGACTAATTTTATTAAATAATTATCTTTAACTAACAAAGTGCAGTGACTTTAATATTGCTCTAAATCTAAAAGTAACTGTTCAATGAACATGAACAAATTTCAACGAACAAACTACATTCGTAGTATTAATAAATATTATTAAACCTACTCTTAGAACTTGACACATATTCTGTTAAACTTTATATGAGAGATGTTGCCTATTTATTAAAAAGGAGTATAATCGTTTACAATTACAAATATAGTAAGTATCTCGTAATATACACAAAAAGAAAAAACATACACCTGAATTGAGAAGCTCCTTCTTTTTAAAGTCGGTCAAATCAGCAATTCTGCATTATTATGTTTGTTTACATTGAATAATTATATACTGGTATAAACTGTTTACTAAGCCAACGAAAAGTTCATAGACTTTTGGGAATTATATATAATTCTTAAAAATAATGTAAATTAAGAAATATCCGTATTATAATATTATATCTAAATGTGAAAGTTTGTGAGTGTGGATGTTTGTTACTCTTTTACGCCAGTATCGTTTATTAATATGTCATTACTAGCATTGCCCACGGCTCCGCCCGCGTTCAGATGACCAAAAACCAAATTCTTAGGTTTTGCATATTATTAGTATACTCTTACATTGCAGGTTTTGTATTTTTTCTTTAAAATGAGATATTTTACCGGAGTAAAAAGTATCGTATATGTTGACCAGGATAATCGGCTACCACCATACCAAATTTCATCAAAATCCCTACAGCGGTTTTTCTGTCATGCGGTAACAGACAGACAGAAAGACGGACAGACAAAAATTCTTAAAACTGTAGATTCGGCCTCTGTATCGATAATAATGTCTATTTCAATAACATTTTCCAAAAAAATATTTAATGTACAGATTCGGCTTAGTTACAATTTTATTATATGTATAGATTACTTAATAAAGTGGCGCACTCTAGTGTAACGAAGTGAAAACACATTGTATTGTTTACGTAGCTCAACACTTACGAGTACTTTACGTTTTATGATATGCATGTGAATTTTACATATTGTCTTTAAGTACTTCTACAATTTAATGAAAGATGGCGTTTTTAGTCGTTATTATTGCCATTTATGGTTATTTTTTAATTTCTAGGAATTCGTTATCGAAGTGCCCATCAAAATAACTTTTATTTTGTCGGTTACAAGTCCTTGATTACTATAGTTTGGATATTATTTATTTCCCTTAAGAAAACTTTTATAAACTTTCTTCGCTTCTTATTTATAATTATGTTAAAGAAACTGTAAAATGTAAAAATACATTTTCTCATACAATCATAATTAGAAATAAAAACTTGTCGCATGCTCTCATTTGCATATAAATATACGAGTACAAGTGGAATATTTATGAATCAATAGGTTGACATTATTCTCATGCTAAATATTTTCTGTTTGATTATGCACAAGGAGTTATAGCATAACAGCTAGTATTTACATATTATATATATATATATATATATATATACATATATATAATATATATAATATTTCCGGGGTAAAAAAAACTTTCCTATGTCCTTCCCAGGGTCTTAAACATCTCCATACCAAATTTTGTCCAAATCGGTTCAGCAGATTAAGCAATGAAAAGTTAACAGACGGACATACTAACAGACAGAGACATACAGAGCTACTTTCGCATTTATATATTAGTATGGATGATATATGATTGATTTATACTCAAAAGAGTACCATATTGAGGAGTGAATGATGACTTTGCTATCTCCTTAGAGGGGTAAGAGGGGTAAAACTAAAATATTTCAATTATTTTAATGTATACATATAATAAAATTCTAACTAATAATTTAATATTTTATGGAAAATGCTATTAAAATAGTCATTATTATCGGTACAAAAGCCGAATCTATAGTTTTGTTAGTAGTTGCAGTCTGGGAACGCATTACGAGATAACTACTAGATAGATTTTAATGAAATTTGGTATAATGATAGCTAGTTATCCGGGTCAATAAATAGGATATTTTTTCCAGCGGGATATCTCATCTTTGAGGAATCTGTACTAACCGTTTAGACATACCTAGGGACGAAGCCGAGTATCAACGAGAGTGACTTGATAGTCTTTACCCTAAAATCTAGCCCTATAGCAATTAGTTTCACATTACTGTGAAACTAACTTAGGTCATTGTACATATATATGTATAATTAGTTTTTTATTACGGTTCCTTACAAGGAGCAAACATTTTCAGCAATGTAATGAAATTATAATAAGCCACAATCCAAGTAGTAGCAAGCCGTAATTTAAATCCATTTGTGACAGGTGAGAGGAACCTTGAGCGTAAATTCACTTTTGTATCAGTCAAATTTATGTTGACATTGAATAACCGCATGAGAAGTTTTAGAACAATACATAGGTACAAGATAATTGGTAAAAAAATGTGGACATTAGATGAAACATTCTAGCACATCTTTCCGATATGTAAGTAGAGGCTTTAATAACGGCCACAACGCACGTATGTTCGAATGGACAATTAAAACAATTGGGAGACAACGCAAGTAGATAAATAGAAAAAAGATTTTCCGTTTCAGATAATAAAGTGACAACAATGGTGGCGTTTGCGTAAGGTTTTCGCACGCTAGGAAGACAAGTGGGGCGATATTTTATATAGGGAGGTGAGGAACGCGCGGCCGCCTGAGCGTCGTCATGCGGCTGCCGTCCTCCTACCGAGATGAACCTCATCATACTCCTCGCGTGTATAATCAGCGCGACTGCTACCAACTCAACCGAAAATGTAACAACAACAGAGTCGTCAACTAATTCTACTCAAGAAATACTCAAGGCCAGTGAAACTGGTGATCCGAGTAAGGTCGAAATAGTCAAACAGATAAGAAGATTGAACGAAGATGGATCATACACAATTGGCTACGAAGCAAATGATGGCACGTTTAAAATTGAAAGTCGAGACGTTTTGGGCAATGTGAAAGGAACATTTGGATATATTGCCGATGATGGTGAAATTAAGCGAGTAACATACTCTTCTTCTGGAGAAAGCACTCCGGTACCAGTTTCAACAAGTACTACACCGAGTACACCGTCTATGATGGTGAGAGTAAACAAAACTGTGTCGTCGACTACTCGAAGACCTCTTGCGACTGTCGTGTATCCAACAAGAAGTAGTGCCACTACAAGAGGAACAGTTATTCAAGCTATACCTAGAAGAAGACTGGTGTCCAGTTCCACGAGAGCATCTACAACGGAAACCACAACTGAAAAACAAAAACTTGAAGAAACTACTGCTAATGTTTTAAATCAATATCGAAACGACGATATAATTAAAACTAGGGCACAGTTATCAAAGCCAACGCCGATGACAGTGAAAGACGACTTAGTTACCAAACAAACCACAACGACTTCACCGCAAACATTGAAACCAGTGTATGAACAGGTAATTGAAAAAGATTCTGATTCAAATAAATCTAATACTATTCGACGTGAACTAGCAGGAATGAGTTCTAATCATCATATGGTTAATCTACAGCAATCTATGGGAGATGATTCAACAGATGTGTATGGAAGCCATTTATCCCATGGTACCCTAAGACCACTATTTACTACCACCACTGCGCGAGCTAGACTTATTCCTATTCAATCTTTGGCAGCAGCGAGGCAAAGTTTTCAACAACAGTACCATGATACACAGCTGGATGACCAGGAGACTACCTTGGAAGCTAGCACTGGTCGAGTTTTTGACCATCAAAATGTAGCAACACCAACTCCGGCCCCAGTGATTCATATACCTGTGCAACGACCGCCCGAGGAAAGAGTTTATCAACAACCAGTTTATCGTCAACCATCAGCAGTACATTTTAGAACGCAAGAATATTTAAAAGATAATCCTGGAGCCCCTATTCCAATCGGAAATCAGCGGCCCTTTCTCCAATACGAGTACCAGGATAAAGTATTGGATGACCAGTATGTGAAGGAACCTCGACAACCGAAAGCTACTGTTCAAGCACAGGCATCTGTTCCGTATGAAATACGGCCAGCGACGAGGTATGTGTCGATACCAGTGGATGAACGTCGAGTACCAATACAAGGATATGAGCCAAGGTTTGTAAACCCATATACAACACAACCTTTATTTCAGAGATACGAACCTATTAATGACATGCACTCAATATCAGCACCAGTGAGTACACGAGACTTCAAGCGTTTGCTTCATATTCTGATTTTAAGACAGAATCGTTTGCAAGCAATAATGGAACAAATCATGCCGGAGCCCTCTTATCAGCAGTTGGCGTATAGACAAGAAGATTACCAGCAACCTCGTCATTATGACGAGGAACGTTACGATTACAGGTATGAACCACAATATAGGCAAGAAGTATATTCAAACCAAGCACCATATGATGATCGTTATGACAGTCAACGATACATCCCTCGACGACGATATACTAGACCCTATGATTCCCAAACGTCCGCTTCAAATCACATCGATGAGTCACCAGAGTACTTGCCAGTGGAAGTTAGAGAGGCTTTATTATTAAAAATGCTCCTTTTAGCGATTAGTCCGGATTTTATGCCCACCACTCCGCCTGCCACCGAGCTGACTACAGCCGCCCCACGAAAACAGGTGAGAAATGTTCAAATACTCGGAGAAGAAGGGTCAAATACAAAAAACCAGCACTGATTAATATCAATCAACAAGTGATATTCTAAGACTTCTTAAAGGTATTTTAAAATTTTACTTAGATAATACTCAATTTTAAGTGTTTTACTGCAAATATGAATATTATGTAGATTGTAGATAATTTTTTTATATTGTAGATAAAAAAATAACTATAATGTCTATTTATTTTCTCTTCAACTAATAATTAACTACCTAATTAATCATTATGAAAAAGTGACGTTTAAACGTATATTAATTATACTGATTCAAAATATCTGAATATTTTCGGAGCTAAATAAGTATAAAAATCAAACAATCGCTCGTTTTATGTGATGTGTATATAAATGAAATGAGCATTTTTGACACTGTGATTAATTTTGTAACTAAAAAACAATATAGAATAGCAAATGAGCGTGTGTAATATAAACCACAAAACCTATTGTTTCAAAAGGTATGTCGCAGTCGCGCCTACACTCGTCTCACGCCGCAATATCCATATGATTTATCTAACTGGAACAGATTTGAAGGATAAAAACACTGAATAATTTAAGTTTTATCTTCTGTGTTATTACCTATAATTACATTTATAAAGATGTATAATTTTTGAAATTTAGTTTACTATGTGTTTCTAATATAACTTTTTTAATAGCATTGTCTTTTAAAGGCATTTTTCCCATTTATAGCAGCAAACCATTACTTTTCAAAGGCAAAGCAATGTCGTAAGTATTACTTTACCGCGAAACACGATTCAAAATAATTACAAATTCGCCACATTAGGATTATACTATTTTAACTCGTAGATTTTGTAATTGAAAATATTTATAATTTTACATAGAAATAAATACCTAAATACAATCATAATTTGTAGGCAATAGATACTCGTATATTTAATGTTAACGGCAGTTAAAGTAGATATTGAAATATCCAGTTTAATTATCAAACATTTTCCCATGTAAAAATAGGGAAAAACATCTATAAGACCAGGCTATTTATTTCTCATCTAGTCTGACATACATTTATTTGATCTGTAGATACGTTCATAACACGAGAATAGAATCTGTGCCGCTTCAAAACATATCAACGTCTCTATACAAAACATCAAACGAGTAAAACCACAATACAGCCATATATCTCTGTTATCATAACCACATGTACGAGTACTAACGCTTATGCTACACGTTACTCAACGCTATGAGAAAACACCATACATGGGTTATTGTTGCTATTGGTGTATGGGAATCAATCCCACGGCCTCGTATTAATAACAATACCGCTTTGTAAATTGTGCAATTCTGTAATATGTTACATATTTTATAAAATACTTTATTTGACATTGAAAAAAACAAACAAAAACAATTTTTTTCTGTATTTCATAATACATTTAATTTCATGTATACTGTTTTTTAACCCCCGACGCAATAAGAGGGGTGTTATAAGTTTGACGTCGTTGTCTGTCTGTGTGTGTGTGTCTGTCTGTGGCATCGTAGCTCTCAAACGGATGGACCGATTTCGATGCGGGTTTTTTCATTTGAAAGCCAGTTTCCTTGCGGTGATTCTTAGCTGTGTTTGATTAATATCGGTCCAGCAGTGTAAGAGTATCAGCTCTTTTCCAAAATGATGTAAGGCATTTTGGCGTATGATTACTCGATTAAGTGCTTCACGCGTGCCAGTGCAATCGTTAAATGACAATTAATTTGCGTAGGGGGGCTTTTTAAGTTTTTAATTTATAATTTATAACTTCTTATTCAAAAGAAACGTTAAAGTTCAACAATCTTAGCTTAAACTTTTATAAACCTTACTACTTAAATTTTATTTTGGAAATACTACAGACTGCTTTTAATTGTTACAATATTTAGTACTAATCTAGAACTAGTCCAGTATTATTAACCTTCGCTTGTTTTTATGATACTTATGGAATATTGCGTGCTAACAAAGTTGCCACAGGATTTAAAATGTGAATATTAATACCTAATCTATATCTGTATATCTATATTTCTATATATACTAGGTAAAAATCGCCAAAGCCGTTTCGGAGGGGTACGGTAACTAACATTGTGACATGGAAATTTTATGTATTAGATTATAAAATTGTAACTAAGTCGAATCTGTAAAATCTAATTAAAATAGACATTATTATCGATACAGAGTCCGAATCTATAGTTTTTAGAATTTTTGTCTGTCTGTCTATTACCGCATCACGAGAAAACTACTGGACAGATTTTGATGAAATTCGGTATGATGATAGCTGGTTATCCGGGTCAACATATAGGATACTGTTCTAAAAAAATATCTCACTGAAAATATCTCATCTCTAAGAAAAAATACAGAAACTGCATTGTAAGAGTAAACTAATATATAAAACCTAAGAATTTGGCTTTTGGTCATCTGAACGCAGGCGGAGCCGCGGGCAATGCTAGTATACAAATATATTCGCTTGTACAGAAATCATCGATTGGCACTCTATTTCCAAAACGATTTAGTATAAGCACAGATCATATAATACTATACACAGATTCGACTTAGTTACAATTTTATTATATTATGTATAAACTAGTGTAAGGATCAAAAGGTGTTCAATAATATTGTCGTGATCTTTTTAAAAAAATCCATAAATTAATAACGTGTGTGTGTACTTGTGTAACGTACATAAGTGTGTGCACGTAAGAAGTTATACTTCTATGGTGTAACACAACAAAAATAGTTAAAGATTTCATCCCGTATGGCACAACTCTCTGTTTGTAAAAGGAATGCAGCTAACTTCATCATGTCGCTTTTTGGCTGTCGGTGTGCGCGCGCTTCGTAAGAATTTTGCTCTTATATTTTTTTTCAAATGCCAAAAGAAGTATAACTTCAAAAATTGTAAGCTTTTCCTTTGTATTGTGAGATTTTCTTTGTAATTTGGGTAGTACATAATTTAGTTATTACACAAACAGTTCAACAAAAACTAAACTGTAAGCAATTCATAAAATCAATTTTTCTTTAAAATTATTTATACTGTGGTGGTAGCCGCTGGTAATTACTTCATTCATTCGTGTATTTTTAACTAATTTATATGTTCCTTTGGGTCTCTCTATATATGCATATGCACATTCAAACGAAAGACAAGCTATATCTTGTGCCCGACTCGATCAGAAAAATGAAATAACCGTCATATTTATAATATTAGTGTGATTCTGGCCTAATCCATAAAAACCTTTGATTAAAATCTGGCCAGACATTTTGGAGAAACATACAGATGGAGCATCAAAGCTTGTTTATATAAATATGTGACATAATAAATAATTAGTAAAAGATATATAATAATAAATATATTTAAAAATCAAGTGCGGCTGGACCAATTTGTAAAATTTTTTTTTGTTTTGTTGGGGGTGTGTCAGGGGTTGTTTACGTATAAAATAATAAAGAAAGCCTATAGAACAGCTGGAAATTCAAAAATTGCAGAACTGTTCATTTTGAATGGGAATTACTTCGGATTACTTTCAATAGATGGCGTTAGTGGTGGACATATCATCTACAACAATGCGTCAAGTTTAAGTTGGACAAAAATAATATATACAATACTCATATACTCATATAGTCTACCTATTCCATAGTAACCTTTAAAACGAACCCAGGGATGAACCCGAGCGAAGCGAGGCAGAGTCGCTAGTAATAAATAACAAATAATATCATGTACGGTGTAATAAAACGAAAAAAAATAATTTAAAAAATTCGTTTAATTATTATAATACACTACATATTTACAAAAAATAATCGAATTATCAAACTAGTAGGATCCGAATGAAATATCGTGTAGAGGTGCGGATCCTCCTTGAGGCAAGGCGTACTCCTTAAGCAGTTGATCGAGCATAGAAAAAGGTTGGCTCCTTTGATTCGCGGGAGGAAATCGGGGAGCGGGGGCGTTGAAGTCCTGGTTAAAATCAACTTGGGTATGTTTAGGGGCGAAGTGCTGAGGCTGTGGAGCTGGTCTGAAATCCTGGTTCGGCCTGTACTGTTGCTGACGGGGCTGGGGTGGCTCTGGGTTGAAGAAATTGTCTTCGACTGGCGCTGGTGAGGCACCCGCGAAAAATGCAGGCTGGAAATCAATAAAATTATATTATAACATTTTTGAATCATTTGGTGTTTTATTGTAATACTAATTTGTTATTCCTAATAAATCGTATTATATTCATAAGATTTTATATAAATAAAAAAAAAAATTTGAAATAATTGAAGTATTAACAATTACATAAATTTACAGAAGTAAAAATTGTTCTACTATTTATTTTTAAACATTTTTTCAGACTAAACTCATATGTAGGTATAATATAATCATAGAATTGAAGGTAAATGTAGAATCATACCTTAGGTGGCGCAGGTGCTGGCTGAGGAGGTGGTCTGTATTTCTGTTGGGGTTGTGGTGTTGGTCTGTATTGTTGTTGTTGCGGTTGTGGTGCAGGTCTGTATTGCTGCTGGGGTTGAGGCGCGGGTCTGTATTGTTGTTGGGGCTGTGCGGGGGCGCGGTAGGCCGGTTGGGGGGTAGGGCGGGGGCGCGGTGCTGGCGCTGGCTCTTCGTAATCGTAATCGTTTGACTGTTCGTTGTATTGGGAGCGACCACTCTGCTGTTGAGTAAAGTAATATGTATATAAAATAAATATTTATTCGAACATACATAGGTATGTACACATAATATTTCGATCATTACTATCCTCAAGCCCAATATTGTGATAAAAATGTATTTATTTCCAAAACTTCAAAGGCTTTTCTTTACAAAAATTACTTATTATTAATGCATGTTATTTGATTGATTGGGATTTATTGCTTAATAATATGTATTATAATATATATAATAATAATATTAATTTGACTATCTTATAAAGCTAACCTTGTTAGGCTCGCGAGTAGACTCGTCGACCAGTGTGGGGGGAGCGACGGTGATACCTTCTCCGGCAGGTTGGAAACCGTATTTGTTTGCGCCATACTCGATTACTCGAACCTGTAATTTATGATTAAAAATTATTGTTATTTTTTTTTAAATGTTAAATGTAGATGATATATGTGTACAAAGTGTATTTAATTTTTTTTTATATTATAAAATATTTAATATAAAAAAAGTTTAAGAATTTTAAAATATGTTAAAAGTTTTTCAATTTTGCTGCTTGCTTTTCTCTCTACGAATTACTAAGCTTAGACCAAAAAGCTATACGCTCGTGGGTCTCCAGAAACTTTTTGTACGGGTAACAGAACTGTACGATTTTTAACAATAGTTAGAGCATATATATCCATGTCCCTCATAAGTAGCTCTATAGATTTAATTTACTTACTATATGGGTTTTTTACTGATTAATTATATTTGTCATTTTGTTGGATAAAAAACAGAGGCTGATTCTTCTATAACTTATAATATTAATGGTGTTTTAAAGTTCTTTTTGGTTTTGATTATTACGTCCACATATCGATGGGATTGTGATTTGTAACATGGGAAAGTACATTTATAATAATACGAAAAAAAATATATATCCTTCCGGAACCGTATATTTTTACGAGATAAACAGTAGTCTATGTGCTATTCCAAACTATAATCTATCTCTGTGCCAAATTTCATCCAGATTCGTTCAGCCGTTCTGGCGTGAAAGAGTAAGAAACATCCATACTCACAAACTTAATTTTCATCACTCGTACGTTCAAGCTTTTTATTTTGTATCATATATTAAAAGCTCGAAAGCCAAACTACAAATAATAAAAGCATCTTAGTTTCTCGCAATAAGAGTCTTATCCGTTGCTCAAAATTAATTCCTCGTTTATTGATATATTATTATCAACACCGGCTTATATTATTCTTAGTAGGCGTTTTCAGTTCGACTTTCATTTGACCATTGCTTGATTTTAAATGGTCTCTTAAAACTTACTTTTCCAGTATCATCCTTGTATCCATATTTCCCTTTGACTTCTCCAGTGGGAGATTTTGTCTCGATCTTGAAGGATCCATCGCCGGCTTCGTACCCGTATGTATATGAACCATCTTCATTATGCCTGGAAGTGTCATAAATATTTCATTAACATAATTATATTATTTTTTTTTTGACAAAAGATGTCTAATAGAAAATTTACTTTTTTATATCACTAGGTAGGTACTATTTTTAAAATTAAGTAATTTCAAAAAAATGAAAATTTGAAGCTTCTAAGTATAAAACGACACATATAGATTCATTCAAATATTCAAACCGCTGTATTCATATATTTTAATCTAAAATGCTACATTTTGTAATAAAAAAAGTTTTAAAGAACTCGCAGTAATTTTATGCCACTTTTACATACTCGTAACTATTACATATCGTTAGTTTTAATAGAATATATCTTAGGATTTAAACATTTGGTGTAACTGACCTGTTTATCTGTTTAAGAATGGCCACGGGTGTTGGTGCAACTTTTGGCTCGGTGGCGATGTATCGCGGAGAGCGCTCCTCCGCGTACTGTGCGTGTGCGCACGCACATACTGCCAGGATAGCCTGGAATTTAGAAAATGCAATATTAACTAATCTGAAAATGAATTTAAACAATAAGAAGGATTAAAAAATAAACAATAAGAAGGTTTGACGATTTGTGCTATTTTTACTTATGTAGCTATATAGACGACACGTTTGGCTCAATTTGTAGTGATCCTACTTGCTGTGCCAGTGGTCGCGGGTTTTTGTCCCACTGGGGGCATTCATTTGTGTGATGAGCTTGAATGTTTGTACTCCAGTCACGGGTGCTTATATTTATAATATGTATATATTTAAAGTTATATATATGTAGTGTATCAACTATCTGGTATCCATAGCACAAGCCTCGTAGTTTACCATGGAACTAGATGGCGCTGTATGTTAATGTCCCAACATATTTATTTATTTATAGAGCTTAAATTATAATGGATAAACTTATGTTATCCAATCATTCTTTATATACTAGGACTTAGGTAAAGATAACAGACATAAAAAGAAATATTCGAGCGTTCAACACTAAAAAATAGTGAACAACAACCAACAAAACTAACTATACATTCTGGTACTACTTGTATGAAATTATGTTTTTTTATATAAAGTAACTTATATAGATCAATGTGTTGTCATTCTAATTAAGCATTTACGTATAAACGTATTGCAGAAACTTTCATTTCCGCACTTTGCTTAACTGAACCTGCAAATAGTATTTCAAAAGGTAGTTTAGTCGTTAGGAAACATTTTGCACGCACAATGAACACAATTTTACAAACATAAATAGTCTATTACTGTATATTTATTGCACCCATAATATAGCTTAGTTTAAGTATCGACTGCCTTTATCAAGTTATCATCGAAGAACGACCTAATTTTTAAAAATATTTTAAATGTAAAACATAGATACTATATTAATAATACGATATTATCACTCATCCAAATTTATTTAAATTTTTATATTTATTGAATAGATACAAAAATACGAAAGAGCATTTCCACTAAATCATGAACTACATATTTCAAATCTATACACCTTATGAGTTAGAAAATAAACAAAATAAACGAAGTCCATAGCTGTTACATATATAATTTTACGAGAATCGAACCTCTGGACTTCTTACAATAGGATTGATTTGGCACAATGTTACTGCATTAGACATGTTAAATCTATAGGTACCTACATGTTATCAAATTATTTGTAAAATGAATTGTTCTAATGCTTTAAACTATCGGCTTACTCTGTGTTAAAACTATATTAATATCACTTATAGGTTTTTGTTCAGAAATATTTAGTTCAAATTTACGAAACATAACGACCTTCGCAGTCAGTAGTTGTTGCGAAAATAATATTTTTATCTAGCGAAATGCCTTTGGCACGTGGTAACGAGCTCTTAGAAGTCAACAGCAATAAAACAAAATATTTATTACATACTCGTCATAAATTACTTAATATTCTAATAATTAAAACGCTCTGATAAATTTATAAAACTTATTCTAGACTAAAATATCATAGGTATTTTTCGTAAAAAAAGAAGTAAATATATTAGAGTGTAATTAAAAGTTTTAATGATTATTACTTAATAGATATATTGTAAAGGATGATATTGTTGGCACACACACAGCCAGACATTTCGTTTTTTTTAATATGTGGGGATATCGATTTATATAATAATATGATAGCAACTCACCATCGTTTCGCTTGGGTTCACCCCTAGTTCGATTCCCCATACAAATTGTCATCCCCATTTTCACCCCATTAAGGGATGATTTCTGGAATAAAAATATCCTATGTCCTTTCCAGGGTCTCAAACTATCTTCTTACCAAATTTCATCTAAATCTGTTCAGTAGATCCAGAGATTACCCCCTACAAAGTTACAAACTCATAAACTCACAAACTTTACCAATTAACTCTTTATAATATTAATAATATAAAATATAGATGTAAATATTGTGGGATATTACAGTAGATAATCCGCTCCGTCTAAGCCTTATCCCATACAGTCGACAAGTTATGCATTGATACCTAGTTCTGTGCTAATCACTACAGTGGATGAACAAATCATGCGCATTTTACATATTCTTTCACCTAATTATGATAGATTATAAGAAACTAGCTGACCCGACAGACGTTGTCCTGTCTACACGTCTTTAATTTGAAAATTTCAAACTTTCTTTAATAAGCTAAAACATTCTGGACCATTTTGATGAAAATTATTATTCAAATTGTGAATCTAAACCATTCTCAGATCCCCTTGAACACACACAAAAAATTTCATCAAAATCGGTTTGAGAGAAGTTCAGTGACATACACACTCACAGAAGAATTATATATATAAAGATAAATAAAAAAATATAAAAAAACCCCTACGCTAATTAACTGTCATCTAACGATAAGACTGGCACGCGTGAAGCATCGAGTAATCATACGCCAAAATGCCTTACATCATTTTGGAAAAGTGCCGACACTCTTACACTGCTGGTCCGATATTAACCAAACGTAGCTAAAAACCACCGCAAGGAAACTGGCTTTCAAATGAACAAAACCGCATCGAAATCGGTCCATCCGTATGAGAGCTACGATGCCACAGACAGACACACACACAGACAGACAGACATCGACGTCAAACTTATAACACCCCTCTTTTTGCGTCGTGGGTTAAAAATATGCATATTTTTCTTATAATGAAAATTTGACGAATCATATGAGGAAAATAAAGAATTTTCTTTCATTTATGACGTTAGAGGTCACATGTTCTATTTCCGTGCGCGTTCGTTGTATATATTTTATAATCATTATGACATAGCATGACATGATATGGATATATTACATGAGGTAAAGCATTTAAATAATTACTAACTCCGAAATAATATACGAAATATATAAAGTCATTATTACTTTCTTAGATGTACGCGAATACTTGACATTTTAAATAAAACTATCTTTTCGGATTTTTTCGCGAATTTATTTTGATTTTTTTGTTTCCGACGTTTCGAATCAAAATAAATTCGCGAAAAAATCCGAAAAGATAGTTTTATTTAAAAAGTCATTATTGTTACAATAATCCTACTAATATTATAAATGCGAAAGTTTGTGAGGATGTATCGATGTCTGGATAAATAGATGTATGGATGTTTGTTACTCTTTCACGAAAGAACTACAGAATGGATTTTAATGATACTTTACAACAATATATATCAGAATATATAGATTACTTTAATACTAGTATATACTACTGGTACCTATATAATAAAATACTAAATTATGCTAAAGCTAAGCATAAGCCGGACATAATAATAAACATTTTAATAAAAATAAAACTATTTTTTTAGATCTAGATTCTTTCTCAAGTGGAAACTCGATTCGATCACAAAGCTCTTTGTGTGATATAATTTATACAAAGGGCGTCAAATCGGAAAGTAGACTCGTTAGAGGCCACGGCCCAGTTCAGCGGCCTCTCACCGGTGACCATAAATATTTTAACGTCGTAGATGTGATATAATTACATTATTTTAGAAAAGGAAACGGTCAAATTTATAAATTAACAGTTTTTTTAATCCCTCAACGACCGCGGACACGCCGGCGTTACAGTTAACAATAGATTTCTTAAAAATTTACCTAGAGGTGTTAAATACAGATTTAAAATAAAAACAACAATTTTTCTCTTTTCTTAAAGTTAAGTTCATTATGTAATAATGTGTAAGCTAAAGTTGGGAAAAAACAGTAATCAGTTGGTAATAATAATAATAAGTAGTAATATTTTCTTAGATTTACTATCTTTTCGGATTTTCTCGCAGATTTATTTAGATTTTTGGTTCTCGACGTTTCGAATGCTTTGCAGCATTCATGTTCACGGGTCCGCCGAAAAAATCCGAAAAGGTCGTTTTATTTAAAATAGAATAGTATTCAGACTATTATTAGAAATTCAAAATTTTGTATGTTTGTTTATTTATTGCTTATTCATACTGAAATGGATACACAGATTTGAATTTGGAGGTAGACTATGACTTGAAGTAACACATATGCTACTGTTATGTACCTAGAAATACTAAACAAAACGAGTGTAAGTCACTAGTGTGTAATAAAACTCGATGATAAAATACAAACAAATAAAAACAAAATGAAGTAATGATATTCTCACATAATTCGTTGGCTTACTATTACAAGGTTCTATATTAATTTTAATGAAGTTTAGTAATTTTTACATAAAACTTCGTTATTTTGTTATCGTAAAAAAACAACATAGAATTATGTAAAATTGAATATTTTGTAGTTAAAGTGCCGCTATCTAGCGGTTTGTTTTTGCAAAACTGTAGCTAAAGACACATAGAACCTTGTAGCATTAATAACTAAATAAGTACTAAAATTGTAACATAGAACTTTGTAATAGTGAACCAACGAATTATGTCAAAAAAATCTCACATGGAACTATATTACAACACAACTGATGGAGACCCTAGAATATCTCATTACAGGTAGTGCGAGGTATGGAATTACAGCCGAGTGGTGCACTAATGCCCACTTCACAACAAAATTATTCTTTGTGCATTTTATACGATCTACGTCACGACGTTAAAGATAAAATCAACTATTTAAAATTAGGTCAAATAATTTATATTTAAACTTCGTAACAGATCTATTTTATAAAATACGCTACGTACGACGTAAACTAGCGCTTTTTTAAAACAGCTGATTGTACAATCCGAATACGCCGAATTCTAATCCCATATAGGACAAAACTGAAACACGTGTCACTTTTACTGAAAGTCCATTTGAAAAGGCTTTAAATTTAGATAATCTGTGCTTTTTATTTACCCGATTAAATACATAATATTATGCAAATGAATATTTGATTTTATATTTATTAATTGATATATGGTAATATTTTTTAAATAAAAAGATTATAATATAATTTAATGTAGTATAAATTTTCATTCAAAAATCTTCAAAATCGAAACGATATTAAGCAAGAAATAGCGACTAATTATGACCGTAGAAACATGAAGTATCAATAAAATAACACAGATTACTTACACTTCAAATAAGTCAAGGATTTTTTAATCATAACTTTAATTAAAAAAATAATTTAATTCTGGTAACACGAGCAATATTGATAAATAAATTGTCATATTCCTTCAATGACAATATTAAAAAACTCAGTAGCCACGAAATATAAACATTTCAACTTAATGTATCGATAAAATAAAGCAACTGTAGATAAGTTAATTTTCTACAATCGCTAATAAATGTTATATGGGAAAGGCATAACTTAATGATTTATTGCTTCGATTTATCATTTTTACACAATTTTCGGTTGTCTATAATTAAAGATAGCTATTATTATTGTAGAAGAATGTTAAGTGAAGAATAAGTAGATACTAAGCGGGCAGTTTAATCTTGGAGTTAGTCAAGGATAACGTAAGTAAAGCGTTATCTGCGTGGCACGAGATCGTAACGTGAAAGGCACGTGCTAGTGATAAAGCTATTATATTATCTAACTTTTACTCGAATTTGCATGTTGAATGCACAAATTCCTATTTTTTGTCATTTTATATATAATTTTTATAATTTTGCCTTTTTATTTTATAGAATATACTAACGACTCACTCTCGATCCGCTCGGGTTCGTCCCTAGTTTCGTTTTAACATTTACTATAGATTTCTCAAAGATGAAATATTTTGCCGCAGTAAAAAGTATCTTATATATTGACCCGGATAACCAGCTATCATTATATCGTATTTCATCAACATCTGTCTAGTGGTTTTCCCGTGATCCATTCCCAGACAGACAGATAGACAAAAATTCTAAAAACTATAGATTCGGCCTCTGTATTGATAATAATGACTATTACAATAAGATTCTCCAAAAAATATTCAATGTACAGATTCAACTCAGAATTTTATTATATATACAGATCAATATTTAATTTTCATTAAATTTAGTAACTTAAATAAGTTACACAACTTATTAATATAAAACTTTAGGACCCTTGATAGGACACTCTAGTACTGCTCAATATGTATCATAATTTATTATTTACGTAACTTTACTCCATATCGTATGAATATGGTCGGTAAGTCGATACTTTCCTTCGTATATGCATTACCTATTAGTTACGGCGCCGGCGCCGTAACAACGGACGGTCTTTGCTTACTCGTAACTAGCGAAACCAAAGAAACACGAGAATGTAAGTATGTGTGTTTGTTCATTAACGGACCTACTCAGTATTAGGGAAAGATCGAATGAATCTAGACCTTCTTTACAAATTACTTAACTTAAGTATATACTTTACCAACTTCAAAAACGGAGAAGCTATTCACTTTCAATGTAGGTATGTTTTATTGTGTATATTATGCGATATCCTCCGCTATTGTAAATTGATTTGTAATATTTTTTATTTAAACAAAGAAAAACTATATTCGTTTAATTTTCCTTCCATCATCCCGTGGGATATGTACCTATATTATATTACGAAACATCGTGTGCACTAGTTTTATATAATTATTATAAATTTAATAATCGCAATTTTACCGGAAACAACAATAGGGTCATGTAGACCGTTGGTAACGCACTAGTAACTTCAGCGTGTGTCAACCCGTTATAACCCAACACCGCTCGATGTTGGGTTAAACCTTTGATGTAGGTACGTAATTAATATATACAAATTGTTATTTCATCATGTTTTAATATGATACTTTCCTTCACTTATACGGATAATATTAACAAATATAAAATGAATATTCTAAATAATAACCTAAGTTAGTAGTAGTACAAAACAAGATTTTCACCAAAATGTACGTTTGTTAAATAACTTTGTATTGTGACGAAATCTGATTGTAACAGTTCAGTATTAGATCAGATTAGGTCGATGGAACCGGATGATCATCTGAATTCTAAGCACTAGAAACGATGGCGACAAGCCACAATCTAGATTTACTTCCATTTTAGTTTGTTATTTACGTAAATGACAATAACGTGGTAAAATTAAGACTTCTATTACATATAATGATATAAATGTTCTTAAAAAAAGCTATTCCCAAGTTTAGCCTAAATTAAATTAGGAGGTATAGATAATTTGGCCGTTTTAATGCTTTGCTTATATAAGCAAAGCATTATCTTATAAACTCAATCATATATATATATATATATATATATATATATACATATATATACATATATAGTTTATAAGATGTAAAACTAAATTTAAAAAAAAAACACTAAAGTTTGTCACATTACTTGCGTCTTCGCTCTATTAGGTTCTTGAATCGCACTCTGCGCGTTTTTCAGTAACTTTTTACTATAAAATAATATAAAATTTAAATTAGAATAACCACCGATGTATGAAAAGCAGACGATGCACTCTCTAGCCGCATTAAATAAAAAAATAACGATTCACTGATATAATATTAGTAAAGATTATGAAAAACCTAACACTCGTATCATATATTGATTTTAAGTGAAAAATGTATGTATGGTCCATAATATATATTAGATTTACGCGAATATTTGATATTTTAAATAAAACTATCTTTTCGGATCATTTTGCAGATTTATTTGTCTGTAATAAGTATTATATAACGCCTTTGCGACGTCTATAACCTTAGTCTCTCCCGTGACCACGATTGCTGTAAAGCATTCGAAACGTCGGGAACCAAAAATCGAAATAAATTCGGGAAATAATCCGAAAAGATAATTTTAATTTAAATGTATGGCTCACACATAGTTCCCCTTAAATAAATGCCTTCCTAAGATTTCTCTATCATGTTTATAACATGTAGGTACATAATATATAAGATAAGTAAATAGTAGTAAAAGTACTAAAATTGTATTTATGAAGCATTTTTGTTTAATTACATACAACTATAATACTTGAGTTATTATAACAAGACGACCTTGTTCCTAGTAATATGGCATATACAATATTTTAATTATTTATTATAGTTGAAAGTATGAAATTTTATATGAATTATTTAAAATATTTATGTTCAAGTCCATATAACTTCATTACTAAGAATCCATATTGTGAATATATTGGATATTTATTAAATGTATAATCGCGTTTTTCTCGTTTTATACAAATGTATGATGTACCATAATATACCATTTTGTTACATAATAAATCTATACATATAATAAAATTGTAACCAAGCCGAACCTGTGCATTAAATATTTTTTGGAAAATCTAATCTAAATGAACATTATTATCAATACAGAGGAATAGTTATTATTATCGATATAGAGGACGAATCTATAGTTTGTAGAATTTTTGTCTGTCTGTCTATCTGTGACCCCATCACGAGAAAAACCACTGAACAGTTTTTAATGGAATTTGGTATGATGATAGCTGGTTAACCGGGTAAACATATAGGATACTTTTTAATGCGGGAAAATATCTCTTCTATGAGAAATCTATACTAAATGTTAAAGCGTAACTAGGGGCGAACCCGAGCGGAGCGAGGGTGAGTAGCTAGTTTTATATAAAAATAGGCAGACAAGCTGTGATAGCTTATTATTTATAGCTTTTTTATAAAATGTAATAAAATTGTTTTGTATAATTTGACATTTCAATAAATTCAATGGCATATAAATGTACCTGTTGTTAAGATGGCCATTACTTTTTGACATCCGGACTCCGGTCAACCTTCACTGGCAAGCTTACAAGTAAAGACCGATGCGTGTAATTATTACAAGTATATAGAAACTTTTACTTTACGTATTTTTGACAATTATTTTGTTTTATACAAAAACAATTGATTACGAAAATTTTGTTTTTATCACTTTTGGAATGTTATAATTTTTTTACATTAACGACACTTAAATATGCGTAAATATTTAAAGTTGTGACAAAAACCCCACATTTAGAAACAATAGATAAATTTGACGGTCATACAGAAATATAGCCAAATTTAAAAATTCACACAATTATAGCTAATTATAGTGTCATTGCTACACACTAATATAACGAGTGTCCATAACTAAAATTACTGTCCCCCTTTGGTACCAACATAAACCTTTCAGTAGACACATTAGCGATTAAACGAATCGTTATCAATCTATCAAGTTTTGTTTTATAAGCAATTTATTTCACTATCACATTTATTATCACAAATAAAGGTTTCACTTATCACGGTTAATTTCAAAAGGTAATCGAGACTAGCTGATACCCTGATTTTGTCTGTCACTGTTTAAATACATTCTATACTATAATATAACTTAAAATATAATATATACAAGAAAAAAAATAAAAAAAATGGATTATTATTTAATTTTTTTATACTTTAAATTATGCACTATATAAACTTTTTAATAAAACGATCTTAAAAAAAATTGTTAATGAATTAATATAAAATGAACATAATCTGAAGAAATATCTGGTTTTACTTGATTTAAGAAAAAATAATATTGTAAAGTATCTAGTAAAAAATAAAATAATTTCAAAAAATTACCTAAATATTTTCACAAATAAAGAAAAATCCACAAATGCTCTAAAAAATAAAATATACCTCATCACAATACACTTCCTTAGTTAACACAAAATAATAGCAAATTCAACAAAAACGTACCAATCTCACTAACGCCGTCATATCTTCAAGTCGGAGGCGCGGCGCGTGCGCAGGCCCCTATATACCTTTCGGGCGGGCCTTTCACTGAATTAAATTTTTTCAAGGGATGCTATAATAATCCTTTAAGATCCTAGGATATCCGTCATATTGACGATTTATAGACTACATGACTGACATTACTCACTGGGCATTTTATAAAATATAACTGGTTGTTTAATTATATTACATTTAATTAATACTCTAACTAAAGTGTTTTTTTTTTTAATTTAAAAAGGTAAGTTTAAAAAAATTAATCTAAATTCTGCACTATTTTAAAGTGTTGACCATTTACCATATGTTGACAAGATGTGTCCATCAATAGTGATTGAATAAGTGTTCCTTTAATTTTTATTCTATTTGAGGATATTTTTGTACTAGATATAAAAGTACTATTTAATTTTTCAATACAAAACTTGTTAAGTAACTGATCTTTAATTTACTGTATCTATTATGAAACGATATTGTAACCCGTTTCGCTATAAATCTGTATAAACATAATTATATATTTAAAAGGATTGAAGTGTAGTGTAGAGATAAAAATTTTCTATAGTATAGATTCTATCCCATTAATCTATTATAATATTACTCGGTGTCTCCTCTGCCTCGGTGGAGTAGTGGCTAGCATGTACGGCTGCACACTCGGAGGTCCTGGGTTCGAGTCCTGGGTCGGGCCAAGTTTAGTTATTGAGTCTTTCTGTATAGTAAGTCTCAGTAACAGCCCGGAGTTGGGAAGTTGGCGGTGTTTCACCCCCGTGCCTCGGAGAGCACGTAAAGCCGTCACGCTCACGCTATACGCTCACTGGTCGTATCGAGCAGTCGTCCCACCGGAGTATGAGAGTGACAGGAATAGAGAGTGCACCTGTGTCTGCGCGTACACTTGTGCACTATAATATCTCCTGCCCAGTTGGCTAGCCTCAATGAGATTGGCCGCCGTAGCCGGAATCGGCTAGGAGAACATCATAATATTACTCGTATAAATGTGAAAGGTTGTGAGAATAGATGGATGTTTGATACTCTTTCACGCTAGAACGACTGAACGGATTTGAATGAATTGGCACAAAGATAGATTATAGTCTGGAATAGCACATAGGTTACTTTTTATCCTAGAAAAAATTATCACATTTGATTTGAAGCAATTTTAATGCAAAGAAATCTCCATATTCATAACTTTAGTTAGCTTTTCTTATCAATATTACATGCTGTAAAGAATATAGAAAACCCTATTCTACTTTTCATCATTGAATTTTAATAGAGTAACACATTAAGCTTTGAAAGTCTAGATGTAATTCTTCCTAGGACCTAGATTATCATAAACCTATCTTTTGCATTATGCATATGTAAATAAGAAATCGTCGCCACAAAATATGGTCAAGTTACTCTTAGATAACAAGAGATTGATTAGAACAGCATAAGAAAACTAAGACTTATAGTAATATATACCTATATAATCTTATAAAAGAGATCAAAATATGACCAATTTCTCAAATAAATTCAGTAAAATATGTTTAATTACATGTAAAAAAAACCCAGTCTTTTTGATAATTTTTAAATTAACTTAGATATTTGTTCATTCGTCGTTGAGTTTCATATGGATCATCAGTTTAGATATTAGTTTATAGTCTGAATGGGTTAGAAAATTACAGATTAATCAATATAAATAAAAATGAATGTTGCTAAACTGCTCAAGAACGGTTTTACCAGTTTGGCAAATTTTTTTTTCGTATGTTCCTTAAGGTACACGGAAAGTTTTAGTAAAGAGAAAAAATATAAAATAAGGAAAAAATATAAAAATATAAAATATATACATATACAAAACAAAGTCATGTTAGTTACACTATTTATAACTCAAGAACCGCTGGACCAATTTTTTAGATATTAGATTTTTTGGATTTCTCTTAGTCCGGAATAGGATATAGCTAACGTTGGCTAATAACTATTTATATCTATCTAAAACGTACGACGAACCCGAGCCGATGCGAGGTGAGCCGCTAGTTAGTAAGAGATAAAGATAAGCAAAAAATATTTCAAACAAGTCGAAACAAATCTATCTCTAACTGTTTAAAGTTATGTTAAAATTAACAATAGTATTAGTACCATATGTCTTTAACTTAATAAAATTACTTTCAAATATAAATATATTATCGAAAACAGATCAACTATTATTAATAAATTATTGTTAAATGTTAAACCCGAAGACTTTGTGAGAAACATATTTTTACAAATACATCAACAAGAACGGAAAATCCATATTATTGAAAAGGGGCGTAGTGATTTTTTTATTTTAGGTAGGTAGTACAAGTATTTAATTGCGATTTTATTAATTTTTATTAGGTTATTTTAGATATAAAATAACATTTATCTATATTTTTTATTATATATTAAAACCTTTATTCTAAAAAAACTTAAGTGTAAGTCGTGGAGTTTTAAATTTACACGTATTTTAAGCAAATTGGCTCATACATAAATGCAATGAATGAATGAAGAGGTGATTTTGTGCAATCAATCAAAATGATGAATTAGAATGTTATGGTAATAGATCTTTAGATTAAAGTTGATTTTACGCATCGCGAATGAATAGCTGAATAAGGACACTTGTGTACAAACAGCAAGGAATACATATTTAAAAAGTCAAAGGAATGCTCACTAAATATAAAATCTCACGAATATTAAACTGAAATACGACAGGCCTAGTTAGTTATAACTTATATGAAGTAGTTAAGAATTTTGACAAGAATTTTCATCATCAAAATACATAATTATGAATTAATTTAATGTATGTTTTCCTTAATCACATAAAAAAAATTGGGTGTAATTTTTTTTTAGTTTTCGCTATTTTTACTTAATATTGAAACAAAGAAGCTGTTAAATGTGCAATCAATCACAATGCCAACTGCATTCGAATTCGTGCGTTATGTCACTTAGGTCACTTTAATGCAGGGCTTTCCAAATATGCAATATGTTTCAAGTCAAAATTGTCTTTTTTAACTTGAAATCATTAACAAGAAAATCGATTTTAATATCGATCGATATAATAGAATCGATTTTATAAATTATCTCTATAAATATTTTATTTATAGATAATTCGATGATACTAGAATGTGTTTTGCTTCGTGTTTTCCATTCTCTATCTAACTTAAAGCTTCTAGAATCTAAATAAATATCAAAGTGGTTATATAGATAATATACTACATAACTGAAATGAAATTGTACCACCTTGTACTACAAATGTAATTCAGTTTAAATCATTTCATTTCAACTGGCTATCGTTTTCCAACCTCTCCTCCCGCGTAGTACATTATTCTATAACTATATCTTTATAAATTATAGCCTATATGTTACTCTTCTTAAGTATCCATTCAATTCATTTTGTGTGAAAGAGAAACAAACATTCATTCTTCTATCCTTACAAACTTCGTGCTTATAATATTAGTAGCATTTTTCAGCAAATGCTCTGCCAAACACCTATAACTTTTGAGCCGTCAAAAACCTTAAGGCTCTCCCGGACCATGATTGCTGTAAAATATTCGCTTTGTCGGCAACAAAATCAAATAAAACCGCGGTAAAACCCGAAAATTATAGTCAAGATACTACTAGGTACTACTCAAATATAGTATCATCACTAACGCAGCGTGAAAAGTGGAATGAATTCTTATTGTCTACGCCACAATGTTATATTATATTACATTTAGTTCACCACTTTAAGCTGACTTTAGGATATCCGTTTTCAACAACTGAATTATAATTAGATCTAACATATATTTAACTAGGTCCTGCCTGCAGCTTTGTCTGTATATTTTCATAATGTGTGGATGGCGATTCTTGTAGAATATTATCTTGCCTAAAGGATAACGTATGTATTTGATATGCGTTCCTATATTAAGGCGTTAGATGACGAGCGATTATGAGTAAAATTTAATAATTTGTGATTTATTAATTTAATTATAAGATATATATATATATATATATATATATATATATATATATAACTAAAATTAAATCAATTTTAGTTATATATAACTTGTGTTAAGTACATAATTCAAAATGACCTCGTGACCTATAAATAAGTTGCAGGCCGGATTTTGGATAGCCCTGAGCCAGGATACCGGCCTCGAAAGCGTCCGCAACAGCGACACTTTGCAACTAAATTAGTTTTATAAAAGGAAAGTTAATTTGCTATATAATAAAACAAAGAGACATTACACGTCCGGGTAGTCTGGTTTTTAGTACATGTTAAAATATACTGTTTTTATTAGTCAATATTTTAACACCGAATTGATCTTCAATTTAACATGTAAAACTAACGATTTAAAAGTCCTTCTATTTGAATAAAGTATATTTTGATTTCGAATAATATCAGATTTTTTTGGAATGATTTGACTTATAGGTACATTACTTTCACTCTTTGCAACCTTAACTGGTACGTGACTCGTTACAACCCTAACTGATGATGTTCTCCCGACCGATTTCGGCCACGGCGGCCAATCTCATTGAGACTAGCCAACTGCGCAGGAGATATTATAGTGCACAAGTGTACGGGCAGACACAAATGCACTCTCTATTCCTGTCACTCTCATATTCCGGTGGGACGACTGCTTGACACGACCAGTGAGGGTTAAAGCGCAGGACCGACGGCTTTACGTGCTCTCCGAGGCACGGGGGTGAAACACCGCCAACTTCCCAACTCCGGGCTGTTACTGAGGCTTACTTATACAGAAAGACTCAATAACTAAACTTGGCCCGACCCAGGATGCGAACCCAGGACCTCCGGGTTTGCAGCCGTACATGCCAGCCACTGCACCACCGAGGCAGTTAACTCTAACTGATACGTATAGCATGAGACCAGCTATTACCGTAAACTATCTCAAAGGAGAAAATACTGACCTTTTGACGTTCTACAATTTTCCAACATGCTTTATATTAAGTAAATAATGAAAAACACGAGCACTTTTTCTTCAAAAATAAAGTCACCATCTTTGCATAAC